AAAAAAAATATCATATGTTAAAAACTTAAAAAACTATAAGTGCAATTTTTTATAAATATCTTTTTAGTTGTAATTTAATTAAAAAAAAAAAAATCAAAAATTTTTAGCTGTCTGCTAACTTCAGTGTCATTAAATTTTACTTATTTATAATTAACTTTAAAAAAATAAATTAAATTAAATTTTTGAATTTATTAGTTCCAAAACTCGCCGTTTGGAGGCAGCACTTCCTTACCATGTTCTTGAAGACTCACATGTGTTTACTTTTTCCACACTTGACATCTTGCAGGAGGTTATTGTTGAACAATAAACCACAAATTGAATAAAAAATATTTAGCATTATATTTTAATAGAAAATTAATTAAAATTACTAACAATGGATCGATGGGTACATGACAATCTGTCATTATTATTAGACTTTCCAGTTCCAGAGGATCTAACTCAGTAAGTAATTAAAAATTCTCCACTTGTTAATTTTCTGAGATTTTTGATAATTTTTTCGAATTTTAATAATAAAAAAATTCTAAATGTAATAATTTTATAAAATTATAAGTGACATTTTTGAAAAATAATTTTTTAGATCTAATTTATTAATGATACTGAAATTAAAAGACATTTTTTAATTTTTTAGATTTTTATAATAAAAAAATTTTATTATAAGTCATCAGATGACACCTGTCAATTTTGTAAATTCTTATAACAAATCAATTACAACAAAAATTCTTTTAAAAATTTTTATTAATTTTAAAATGTGGAATTTTTTTATTAAATTTTTTTTACAATAATTTAATTGCTATATTTCAGAAAAAAAATTTTAATGTCGGTCAACTTCAGATGAAAATTAAGTTAGCTGACATCTAAAAATTTTTAGATTTTTTTTTTTATTGAAAAAATCATTACAGAAAAATAAAAAAAAATTTTCATTTGAAAAAAAAACTTGAAAAACTTTAAGTGCAATTTTTGAAAAATATTTTTTAGTTTTAATTTAATTTTAATGGAAAAATAATAAAATTTTAATAAAAAAAATTCCACATCTAAAAATAAAAAAAAATTTTTTTTTCCTTAATTAATGTTTAATAGAAATAAAAAACATTGTCATATTTCGGCTAATTTCAGTGTTATAAAATTTTTTATTAAAATAATGAATATAATTAAAATAATTACCAGGTACATTCTTCAAATTCACAATGAAAGAGATTTAGATGATTATCTTAAAACTTTATTGGACTTCAGTAATCCAAAGCATCGTAATTTTGTCCTGGAGTTGAAGCGAAAAAAAGGTACGTGTATTACTTGTCAATTTTAACGTCTAATATTTTATTTTTTCTTACTCACTTGTTTATATTTTTTCAGGTGCAGAAAATTTACTGACTGGTTACAAGAAAGTCGATGACAATTCTAATTTTTCCCAGAAAATAAATGAGAAAAAGAAAAATAAGAGCAAGGAGAAAGAAAAGGAAGAAAATCCACCGGAGAAGTCTGGAAAAAAAAAGTCCAAGTTTGTTAATATTTTTTCTGATGATGGCAAGGATAAATTTACCGTCATGTTAAAGAGTATGATTTAGATTATTATCATTTGTATAAAAATTTTTTTTTTGTTTGTACTGATGAGTGAAAATTAATTAATAGACAGGCACAAGTGCGACTGTGAAGCGAAGAACCATTGTCTAGTGAACAATTGTCTCAATTGTGGAAGAATCGTTTGCGCGCAAGAAGGTCCGGGGCCGTGTTTTTTTTGTAATGAACTTGTTTGTACTCCAGACCAGCAAGCCATTCTTGCAATGCAGACTAAGCAGTCA